CCAGTCTTTCATCACCTTAAACGAAATAGGGTGAACACAACTTATAAAACTTCAAAAACTAACTTGATCTGAATAGCTGCGTTTCATCATGGACATCTCGGAGGTCGTCTGAGTCACCTTGGCGGCCAAGTCCTGTGCCTCAGCGCGTGCTGCCAATAGCTCTGCCTCCAAGCGAACTTGCTCATTATCAACTTTTTCACAGGGGACTCCACTACAGTAATCCGAATCCACCGAAGTAGTCGCTGCAACCTCTATTTGTTGTCTAGCCTCTGACAATTGTTTGAGAAGCGTTTCAGCCCTAGTCTCCGCCTCAGCAAAGCGGTCCTGCAGGCAATTCACTTCCTGACGAGATGATGCTGCAGCTGCTGCAGCGGTCTGCCGCTCAGTCTCGAGGCCTGCTTGTAGAACTGCAAGATGGCGCGTAAGAGCAGCTGCCTGCTCTGTGGCCTTATCCCGATCTGCTTGGGCCGCTGCAAGTCGACTACGCGCCTCTTCGGCGTGCTTGTCAGCAGTAGCTTGAGCAGCCAGATTGGTCGCTAGGGCATCAGACAGCCGGCGCTCAGCCTCACGTAATGCCACGGCATTAATGGCGGCTTGTCGTTCGGCTGCTTGCAGACTAGTTCGCAACTCAGACACTTGATCTGTAGACTCTCCACAACCACCAGCAGTCCCTGAACCAGAGCCAGAAACGGCTGCAGAGGCTTCTAAAGTAGCGTCTCCTGGGTCAGCTTCGATACCAAGTCTATCGCTGGCGCTTGATTGTAGTCTGTTTCGTAGATATACATGATCTCGTATGAAAGTGAATCCTGCAAACGAGATATGATCACCAGTGAAGAAAGCTGGTGCAGCCTTCTTGGCTGCAAAAGCGCAGCCGTTGCGTGCGAACTTACCTGTTCCTGAGCCACTACCACTAAAGGGGCCACTGGCACTAAGATCTCGCTCCTCAAAATTGATGTGTGAAGTGTCCACCTCGGAACTGACATTCGGTTGAATCGGGGCATCCTAATAAGAGCCAGAATTAGAGGTTAGAACAAATAAACAATTATTATTGTTTCATAATGCAACAAGCTGTACAGGTTTCGATTATTAAAGCTTTCTGAGATAGTATGATGAAATAATTATAAAAGCAACACAATTCCTAAATTATGCGAAAAGATAAGCGTAAACTAAACTCAGCTTCATTTGTGATACATCAATGGAGACTCTTATTCTAAAAAAGATTAATCACAACTATACCATCTACCAGGACAATTTAATAAGCAACGTTCTGATATTTTAAATAGGAAGCAATCACGAAAGCTAGTATAAACTTTAGGTGGAAAATCAATTATACTCTCAAGAAGCGAAGATAGTTAAGGGCGAAGATGAATTTTCAAGGGATTAGAAATATAAGCATAAGGTGTTGTATATCAGGGCTACAATTAAGCACGAGCATGAAAATTGATTCAATAAAAATTCAAGGGCAAATAAAGATAGCTATTACACTAAACACATTGACGGTGGATAGGATTCAAAATCGCACATAATACATTCCAAGAGGTTTAGAAGTCAGTAAAGTAAAAGCCCATTGATTGTGGGGG